GCCTTGAAGTTCCAAGAAGGAGAGGGCCACCCCCTCTCCTTGTTGTTCTTGAAAAGGACCATTTTTGGCCTATTGAGGGAGCACCTAGCTTAGGCTCTTGTCGACCATGCCTTAGCTGATTTTTGTGCTTATTATGTCATAATATGCCTCTGTTTTTAGTTGGTTTTGGTACACTATGCATGCTTAGCATACCTACCTTGTAATGCCATGTTTAGGCCTTAACATGCCATAGGTTGTAAGCCATTGTTCTAGCATGTTTTAGGCCTAGCTTTATGAAGCTTTTATGCTTATTTTGCCATGTTTGAGGTCTGTCCTTAGTCATTTTGGTCGGCCATGACATGTTTAGTATAGCCCCTTTGCATTTTTGGCTTGTTGGCCTTAAGTATGTGAGGGTATAGCATGCATTACTTGCTTTATTTTAATGGTTTGGCACCATTTATAGCATCATTTCAGTCCCCTTAGCATGCTTGTATGCTTGCCTTAGATGCCTTCTTGATGCCTTATGAGCTTGTGTGGTATGCTCCTTGAAAGTGCATTTGTGCATGCTTTTGAATTCAAGCCATTTAGATGCCATCTAAGTGGTCTTTTGGGCTTTATTTTATGTGTTAAAACTCTGTTTTTGGTCATTTAGGTCTTACCATGTGTGGTCATATCAAGTGTAGTTCAATACTTCATTAGCTTGCCTTGAATGCTTGGGCCATTTGTTGCATGTTTAGCCTATCTTGTTTGCTTAGTTTGGCACCATGTTCTTGCATGATTTTCAGAGCTTAATGCATGCCCCATGTCTATGATTATTCCCTTTTAAGTGTGCTTAAAAGATGCCCTTTGATGCTTAGGTGTTTAGGACTTAACGTGTGTATGTGTGTTTCGTCCCATCTTCTTAAGCTTTGGCCACTGTTTTGGACCTAACTTAGAGTTGTCAATGCATGCCCCATGTCTATGATTATTCCCTTTTAAGTGTGCTTAAAAGATGCCCTTTGATGCTTAAGTGCTTAGGCCTTAACGTGTGTATGTGTGTATGTGTGTTTGGTCCCATCTTCTTAAGCTTTGGCCATTGTTTTGGACCTAACTTAGAGCTGTCCAATTAGTGTTAGTCCATCCCTTGCATGCCATTCAAGTGTTGTTACATTATCCCATGTTTGCATGCTTTGGTTGCATGTGTTGCATGTTTGAAATCACTCGCATTTGGCATGCATTCCCTTGGTCAAGTTACTAGCATGTTGCATGATTAGATTGCATCTTGCATACTTTAGTAGTTTGCATAGTTATGGCATGCTTGTTTGCTTAGTTTGTGTACGTAGTGTACATCACTTGCTTGTATATTCATGTTGCATGCTAGCTCACATGATTAGGATTGCATTGCATTGGCATGCATGCTCTACCTCTTGACCAAGTCATGATGGAGGTAGAAGCCCCTTGGTTTGATTGTGTGCATCGCATTTCATTTGACATGAAAATGCATAACTTGGTCTCTTGGCTCATCACGCATTGAAATGCGCGATTGATGGTCCGAGAACCAAGGACCATATCCCTTTGAGTCGTATACATGATAAGGGATAGGATTGGTGCATACATTACTTGAATTGCATTGCCATGCTATGCCTTGCACTCTGCTGCTGTCAATTACAGATTCTGCAGGAACTTTCTGCCAACCGGCAGTGTTTAGTGCTGACCGGCAATCTTTCCTGGGCCGATAGCTTCATCAACAGCCGATGATTACACACTACTGCCGGTGGCTATTCTACTCAACCGGTGGTGTCTCCCAATGTCCAGGGAAGCAATCCTGAGACTTTGGCAGTCTTCCAAGAGGCAGTGAGGGAAAACAGAGGCAGCTTAATGCATGACAGTGCACTTCCGAGCAGAGACCGAGCACGCGCGCATCGAACCCTCTTCCCGAGGCCCCTTTTATTGCTTTTCTTATGCTTAGTTTAATTTGTTAATTTAATTAGGTGATTTGTAATAATTAATTGCTTGCGAGTTAGTTAATTCGTATTATTCTTTTGTTTCGTTGTATTATTCTTTTGGTCCCTCCGAGGAGGGCGAATTTGTAATAAGTGTGGGTGAGTGTGTGCATGTCTTCCAAACCTCACTTTTTTCCCTTTTACTTACTGCTTTGATGTTAGTAATGGTCATGTTTTAATTTAGCATACCTTATGCTATGCATGCGTGCATCATTCATCAGTATTGCATGCACCGGGCTCGGCACATAATGCTAACTGGCAATTAGTATTTCAAATCTAACTTGAATACATGCTATCTGTGCATTCTCACATGTCATCCTTAGATTAGCCGAGCCTATTCTAGATTGCATTCTGTATGCGTTGCATTAGCCACTTTAACATGAACTAGGATCACGCATGTTTGCTAACTAGTTTATTGTTTTGGCACGGAGTACGTTGTAAGTATTTATGCTTTAGCATACCACATGCGTGTGAGTGTTGCCATAACAGCATGATTACCATGAGGCTAGCTGCTTATGTGATATAAACTGCTTGAATGCCTGTGGATGAAGGTCGGATTGCCTGAGTTGGAACGGTTCATTGAAATCCGTATTTTAGCCTACTTGCGAGTAGCAAATTTCAAAACATTTCTTCAAAACAAACGGATATGCAATGTTTTGTTCCAAATTAGGCGATTTGGTCTATAACTTGTTTGTTGTACGCATAACATAGTAATTCTAGGCTAATAATTGAAATAAGAACACATAATGCTTTCAAAACAAGATATCACGGTTAGTAGAGGCCGATCTTCGGATCGGGCAGGAGGGGGTGCTCATAGCTGACCTTCCTCAATCGTACCCAAGTTCCTGAGTCGAGGCAACTTTGGTGATGACGGACACATGGCCTTTGGCACCGAGTCAGGGTTTCCTAAATTTCCCAAAATAAAATATTTAGGTGGCGACTCTGTATCTGGCAAAGCAGTCCATGTTTGGCACTTCTTTTCAAAAATTTGTTTCTCAAAACGATTTGCCAGATTTGGACTCTTTGGTTCAGATTAAGAACCATGACACAAATCGAGTCCGAACTGTAGTGAGGCCCACGGGCGCGTGCTACAGTAACCAGCTAGAGAGCACCGACAGAATAGATGGCATCTGGCTGACCTGCAACAGAAAAAGAAGATTCCGGCGGTGGTTCGTCCACCCGGGGGCAATTTGACGATCAAGTCAGTATATCTTTCAAAGATAAATCAAGTGCTAAACTCACAAGCTTGAGTATCAAAATCATACCTTAGACCCATGGGGGTACCTTTCTTTTATAGCCAACATAAACCTAGTCCCAATAAAAGCCTAACTTCTATGGACTCAGGATTACTGCTAATCTTGGACTCCCAATAAGATTAGGATAAACTCTCTAAGAGTCTTATCTTAATTCAAACTGATGTCTTCTCTCATTCTAGGACTCTTGCCCCTCATCCGCTTATCTTGGATTCCAATATCTTCGGAGGTAACCTCGGCGTATCCGAGATGACCTCGGCATAACAACCAGGACACGTGGCACCTCGGCTGACATGTCGGCGCTACCTTGGCCACGTGTTGGTACTCAGAAAATATATCTCCACAATTGGCTAGGAGGGTATGGTGGGGGTTTTTATTGTGTTGCTTACCTGATAAAGTGTATTGGGAAGCAGAGGGCAGTTTATCTGTTGTGTTTGTTGTTCTCTTAGGTGTTAATTATTTAGTGCATGTTGGTGTATTGATTATAAGTCCTAGAGGAGTTTGCTGGGGGTGGACTTGGCAGATGTGGTAGCTTGTTCCTATTGTGTGGTTTGTCTAATCAAGGATCTAGTGCAATGTTTGATGCTGGGGTTAGGGCCTGATCTGCTGTATGCTGCTGATGTCTGCTACTGTATGCTACTGGTGTATGTTGTCTTAGTGTGTATGCTGCTGGTGTTTGCTGTATTATGGCGTACGCTGCTAATCTGCAACAGTATGCTTCCTTAGTGCTGCTGTAGGCTGTTTGTGGTCTGATGCTGTGTTGGTCTGTTTTTTTGGTTCCTCTTGATTGGCTTCTCACCAATCTTTGGGTTAGTGCTCGCATATGATTGTGCTTCCTTAGTGGTGCCAACCTAGTTGGGATTATTAAGGTTAGCGTTGATGTTTTTTGCACTTTCCCTCTTTATTGATGGAAGTTTTAGCATGTTTTGCTTTCTTCATTAATAAAGTTTCATTTTGCTGATCAAAAAAAAAAATATGTAGGGAATGTCTATGGTGTGAACTTCTTTAGGGGTGCATACCATATACACCCTATCACAAATTGACGTAATTTTATTACAAAATTTCATAATTTTAATTATAAAACGGGTAATTCATCACAAATTAGCGTAACAAAATATCTAAAAAAATTTGGTTGATATTATAAAAGTTTGTGACTTAGTTACAATATTTTTGTTATGCTAATTTATAGTAAGATTATGCATTTTGTCATTGATATTACTAAATTTTGTGATAAAATTAATTCAATTTGTAACATGGTGCATATGGTATAGATTTTCCCATTTAATAATAGTTATACAAATTTCTTACATTTGAATGAAATAATTGGATGAGAAATAGAGAATGTTTGATTTATAGGTTAAATAAATAATAATAATGAAAAATACAACGCTCCTATTTTATAAATTTCATTTTTCATCAAAAAAAAAATAATGAGGTTTAATGATAAAAACATGAATTAATTGTGCATATTTCATAATATCCAGATTGTCCACTAAATACAAAGACCGAAAAAATGAATACCACATAACTTATTTGCTTATTTATTTGAACATACTAATAAAAAAAACACAATAATTGCAGTATTGTTATTTAAAATTAAAATTATACCTAATTTAATGATGTGATAATCAATTAGGATATTAGAGGCAATACTCTCTCTCATATCTTTTCTAATCATTAACTAATCATATCACTTATACATCATTAAATTTAAAAAATAAATCTAAAAAGTGAACTGATATATTATTTTCCATAATTATATGTTTTTATTTTCTCACCTCTTTCTTTGTCTCACAATCCAAACCTAGCCTTAATTTTCTTGAGCTCTTCTGTTTCCTCTCTCCTTCTTATATCTTGGAGAAAACCATATCATCAGCTTTATCAAAGAAAACTTCTTCTTTCTTTCTAGAGAGAGAGAGAGAGAGAGATGGGAAACTGTTGGGGATCTCCAGTAGGTAATCATAGCAGCCCAAGCGCCACCAAACCATCCACCCCAGGTATATGTATATATATAGCTGATCTCTTCGTGTTTCTTTGGTGACTTTTTTTTTAGATGTTTTTGAATAATTTCCCATAAACCCAAATCACTTTACCAATCATTTCTTTATTATTATCATTTATTTTTCTCAGATGATCAAAACTCATTTATTTTTGTCACTACTAGTAGACGACGACGACAACAACAACAATACTGCTGCGGCGGCGGCGGAGGTGGTGGTCGGAGGAGGAAGTGCGGCGGCTTCGGAGGAGAAAGAGAAAGAGAAAGTGGAAGTGGAAGTGGGTGGGAGTAGAAAAGCAGTAAATGTAACTCCGAATTTGAAAGTGTTTACGTATTCGGAGTTGAAGAGAGCGACCAGGAATTTCAGACCAGACACAGTATTGGGAGAGGGAGGATTTGGAAGAGTGTTTAAAGGATGGGTGGATGAGAAGACCTACGCACCCTCCAGGATCGGCGTCGGATTGGCCATCGCCGTCAAGAAATCTAATCCCGATATCCCTCAAGGTCTCCAACAATGGCAGGTATATCCGCGTCTCCACTACTCATCATCAAATTTCACATTCCATTTTTTTTTTTTTTAAAGTCAATTTTAAGTCAATTTCTATTTTGTTTTTTTTCCACCATAGTGTTTCCCCATTCCTATAGGCGATCATGATTCAGAGATTGGTGGAGACAAAGAGGACTTTGTTGCTTACAAAAAAGTACTTGCAAACTAGTTATTTTGAAAGGATAATTAATTTTTGACTTTCTAATTACTTTATGCTATTTTAATAATCCTTACTTTTGTGTTATTATTATACCTAACAAAATGACTTCTAATTTTATAGAAATCCCAAAGTGTAAGGGATGGAAACTTTTTTTTGCCCCGCCCCTACATATAAGATTGCAAACGTGTCGTGGAACTGAACTTTAATATGTTTGGTTTTTTTTATTAAAACTTTAAAAAGTTTGAACTCAACTCAATAAATAAAAACTTAATAAATTGAACTTAAATTTGTTGGTTTAGGTTTCACTCGAATTCGAACTTGTTCACGAAACTTAACAAGGTAAATAAATTATAAATTCATACTTGTGTATAAGATTAAAATTACAACTAAAATTTTTGATTATATAATTATATATATATATATAAATAAATATACTACAAAAAAAAGTCAATATCTTACTAAAATAATAATATCTACCACATTTACAGTATTTAAATATGTAAATAACATATTTATCTTATTTTTTATACATATCTTTATATTATTTAAGTAAATATTAAACGAGCCAGCTAATGAGCCGAACTTTGGTATGTTTGGTAAAGGTTCGACTCGACTCAGCTCATTTACTATATGTGTCGAGCTCGAATTCGAATATTAAGCTCGCTTACCTTTATTTAAATTATATAATAAATATATTATTTATATATATATATATATATAATATTTTTATTTAAACTCGAGTTTCATTAATATTAATGAGCTGAGCCGAGCCGAGCCGAGCCGAGCCGAGTTCAAACCCAATTACTTATCAAGCCAAACTCGAACTCAAAAAACGAAGGAAAATGTTATAGGCCTCAAATTTTCTACCAAATGAATGACCAAATGTGTCACATGGGTGTGGGGTTCACAAAAGTATGGACCTACACCCATATAAGACATTTGATTATTCATTTGGCAGAAAATTTTGTATCCCTAACATTACTCATACATGAACTCAATAAGCAAAAGAGCCGAGCTCGAGTTCGAGCTCAGCAAATCTCGACTTGACTCGACTCATTTCATTTGCGACCTTATTTGTACTTATTTATTAAGTTTTTAACGAGTTCAAACAAAATAAAAATTTAACAAACCGAGTGCAAATGAGCTTTTATTGAGCCCAGTTCGAACCTATTTATGAACGACTCTTTTCATTTGTAGTCCTACTTGCATCCCCTACTCTATTCCAAAAAAGTGGGATGGGACAAGTTTTACTTTCTTGTTCCATTCTATCTGCCCTACTCTCAATTTTATTTTAATATAATGAATAAAACATTAAAATATTACAATTAATATTTATTTTTACTGATTTATTTATCATCTTATATATTTTTACTCTCATTATTTATAACATATTATATTATCTTTAATTTTTATTTTTTTATTTTTTAAAATTACAAAATGAACATATTCCCATTGTATGGTTAAAAGTCAAATTTCTGACTTTTTAATTTTTTTTATATCACATTATTTTTTAATTTTTTATATATTTTTTAAAAAATCAAAAAAAAAAAAATCTAAAATAGGCCATAGTCTCCTTGTCCTTTGATATACGGGAACGGAAAGACAAAGTCGCCCCATTTGCCATCCCATCCCTTGGTCAAGTAGGAACAGCTGAATTAAAATAGAAAGACAGGAGTAGTTGGTAAATGGACTAGACCTAGTCAAACGTTTCGGTTTTGGTTGAAAATTCATACAGCTTGCTTTTTGCTAATTGCTAAATGCCACTTTGTGCTTTGTAATTTTGTGAAAGAATTTTGATACATAACTTTAAAATAATAGTTTTAATGAGAGTTTTAATGATGTGGAAAAGAGAGAGAAAGAGAAGAGTATAGACCCCATATCACATAGGTAGTTTTTACATCATTAGAGCTCCATTAAAACTCTCCAATTCGAATTTTCAAACATTATTATTTTGTGAAAATTCGTAATTTGCCTCCATAAAATAAAAAGTTACATATTGCACCTCTAGTTTGTAAAAATTACACTATAATATAGTTTTGTAAAATGAATTAGGACAATTGGCCTAGTGATTATGTAATACCGTTGGTAATGTGAGATTGCGAGTTTAACTTCTATGGAGAGAAGTTTGATACCGTTTGTGATAATTTATTTCTTTCCCATTATGGGGTTGCATATAATTAGCCGTGGTTATTGAATTTGAGTTGATTTATTGGTTGTCAGGTTTTTTTAACTTTCTAATTATTATGAGCTACTGGTTTGTCTAATGATATAAATATTTTTTATATTTGTCATTACTCTTCTATCTATTGAAAAACAAAAAAAAAACAAAAACAAAAAAAGGCAGTTTTGCTTTTAGTTTTCACTATATGTTTTATTAAGTTTTAAAAATAAATTGTGCAAAGTGTAAATTTTATAAATTATAAGAAACAAAGTACAATTTTCACATAACTAAGGATAAAAAAGTTTAATTTTTAATTTTACAAGTATCAAAGTGCAACTTTAATAGAACTAGGGGCAAAGTAATCATTAATTCTTATAAAAATCTATAAACGCGACTAAAATAGCACATGAACAAACATTTTGAGTGATGGCAAACCAAAACAAAAAGAAGAATATATAATTAAGACCTATCATTGATTTTTAAACTAAGAATAAATCAAATTAGTTTAGAATTTTAGAACTGAATAAATTTATAAAGTTGATCAGATTATATATAGATATCCAACAAATGGTTTCCTCCAATACCCTTAATTTCATGTCCAATTTAAAGGGATGATGATTGCATCGAACACATAGAGCATCTTCATTGCCAAAGCTACTTTCTATATATATATATCTGTGTGTGTGTGTGTGTGTGCAAGGTTTTAAAAAGCAGCCACAATCGTTACGTAACGCCATTATGTAACACCGTTACGTAACGGTTTTGGTGGTTACCGCCACCCGTTACGGCCACTTTTGCAGTGTGATTGAGATTCACAGGTGTGTCGGCCGTAACGATGCCGTAACAGTCATAACGGCCTGTTACGTACCGTTACGTAATGATTCCAAACCGTTTTTTTTTTATAAAAAAAACACAACAAAAAAAAAGCTGAAAATGGGGGGAAGAGGGATAGAGAGAAGTGGGAAGATAAAGAGAGAAGATGGAGGAGCAAGAGATAGAGAGACAAAAGAAGGAAGATGAAGAACATGTTGTTGATTTGTTGAAACTGTAAGACCTATGCTATTCTATTCAGCTGCTATCACTCAACCATTTTATTTGTGTGCGTCTATCTATATATTGTTTGAAAATAATAATAATAATAATAATAATAATAATAATAATAATAATAATAATAATTGTGGTCATTATCTATTTAGTTTAGTTAAAATATGTATATATATAAATTTAGGCTCTCAGGTATTCTCTTATGTTTGTCATTGTTTATCTTATATATAATAGTTAGTGATTAATTTTTTGTATAATATAAAGTCATTAATTATTAAAATAAATGTAAAAAACTCAGTTTATAGTGATTTAAAAATATGAAATATATGGAGTCATACTTAAAAATTTACAAAAATTGATCAATATTTATTTTAAACCCAATAAATATGACCATGGAAAAAAAATATCAATATCGGTAAGGTTTTTTCAAATTGTGCGAAAAATAAAAAAAATTCATGGTTCAGGTTACCTCAACCGTTATGCTACGGCATTTACTTCCCACACTTGCAACCACAACCGCGCCACCGCCACTGTTACGGCGATCGCAATCACTTTTCAAAACCTTGTGTGTGTGTGAGAATAATCAAATGTATCCAATATGCATTTTCTCAATCATTATATTAATCTTGATTATTTTAAATTTTTGCGAGTGCAGTCAGAGGTGAAGTTCTTGGGAAAATTTAGTCATCCAAATCTAGTAAAGCTGTTGGGTTACTGTTGGGAAGATGATCAATTGCTCCTCATTTATGAATACATGCAAAAAGGAAGCTTAGAAAGCCACCTTTTCAAGAGTAAGCAACACTTTTACTTCAACCAAAACCCTTCATTTCACATGCATTAATTCATGGAAATGTGTTCATCTAAAAAAACAACAAAATTGTTTTCAAAAAATAACAAAGTGTTGTGTATATATGTTGCAATGTTGTAAATGGTGCAGGGGGTTTAGAACCACTTCCATGGGAGGCAAGGCTTAATATAGCTATAGGAGCAGCTCAAGGCCTCGCTTTCTTGCACACGACAGAGAAGCAAGTCATCTACCGCGATTTTAAGGCTTCCAATATATTGCTTGACGGGGTAATTTAAGTTAAATTAAATTCATTAATTGACCTCTTTGTGCATTACTGTATATATAGATTAATTTGCCATGAATTTGTTTAAAAAGCTCAAGTCGTCTCAACTTCATATTTAAACTTGAGAAAAGCTAAGCCCAACCCTTTTTATATCTCCAATGCTAATTTCCATCAATCTCGTTGATTTTTGTAGGACTTCAATGCAAAGCTTTCAGATTTTGGGTTGGCAAAGTTAGGTCCCATAAATGGCAATTCACATGTGACAACGCGCATCATTGGCACGTATGGCTATGCTGCTCCTGAGTACATCGCAACTGGTATGACTCCCCCATATCTTTCTCTTATACGAGTAGTAGCCAAAGTCCAAGAATGAATATACATTTTTTTGTGCAAAAATCAATTTATACGAAAATATTTTCAAGTGTAAAATATTTTAGGCCAAAAGAAACGAAGTTTTAATCATGTCTTGTTTAAATGATATCAAAAGTTTAATTTAAAAAAGTAAAATTTGTTTGACTTTTCTGTCATTTTTGTTTTACTTGGTCTATTTTTTTAATTAAACTTTTTGATCTAGAAAGACTAAAAAAATAATTGAATATTTTTTTTTTTTTAAAGAAAATTTTCTTTTAGCATTTATCAACCCTCACCTAAGTGGTTTGGAAAAATGATTTACACATAACATTTCTAGAACTCATCCAAAAGATGTTGCATCAATATTTTTTGAATTAGAAGCTATAAGGTTGGTATTTTGGTTTGAAATGAAAGAATCACTAAAAACACATATCATTCTATGCGACAATTTTTTACTCTTTTTTTTTAATTTTTGACATTTTTTTTTTGCGTCATTGACAAATACTCAATTTTCAACCCCTTCCTTCATATTGGTTTGGAGTTTGGAGTCTCATAATTCAATAACTTCAAGTATTTTTGAAGCAATATCACAATTTAATTTAGGGATGGATGATCCTAAGCCATTTTCGTCTTACTAGCTTTTAACACCCAAAGACTGATTATGAGTTTATGACAATTATAAATTTTATTTGTTTGTACAGTGGTGCAAATATGAATTCGACAACAATGATCAATAATGAATTTTCAGGTCATTTGTATGTGGAGAGCGATGTGTACGGTTTTGGAGTGGTGTTGCTTGAATTATTGACAGGTTTAAGGGTGCTCGACATGAATCGACCCAAGGGTGAGCACAATTTGATAGAGTGGGCTAGGCCCTTCCTACCCGACAAGAGGAAATTGAACAAAATCATGGACCCAGGGCTTCAAAATCGCTACCCTTTAAAAGCTGCATTCCAAGCAGCTGAACTTATACTTCAATGTCTTGAATCCGATCCAAAAAGCCGACCCTCAATGGAAGAAGTTTTGGAGACTCTCCAACAAGTCAATGCCATCAAGATGAAGCCTAAGGGCTCCAAAGCCGGTGCAAAACATACCGCCACAGCCACCCAGCGCCACCAACAAGATCGTCATCCTCTGGTGAGTTCTCATCGTTATGGTCATGATCGATCTCTGCTTCACCACCAAAGGTACGGTAGAAATGGTGGAGGTCAAGGTGGAGCTCGCTCGCCCTTGACTAGACCTCGCGGCTAATTATTTACATGACAAGTTTTATGGACACATATGTGAATGGAAAAAGATGTGCATCAAAAATCACTGGTGATTTTTGTAAAAGAGATTTTAGGTGATTGCATCAGTGTTGTATGTGAATTGCAATTATTGTTTCTTATGGGCTCTACACTTCCATAGGAAACCCACAAAAATGTACACTAGCTATTGCATATGTTATAGGTAAATGTTAATTAATACTCCTGAAGTAATGTTTAATATCATGATTGTTGTGAAAAATGTAAAAGAGTTTTGTGTTCTTTGAAATATATTTTTTGATGTATTTTTCACCTACACCTACAACTACAGCTCGATTTGGGCATCCGTGGTAAACACAAAATACCATACACTGTTTACGCTGCTTGTATTGTCTTTGTCGTAGTTCCAAACACTCTCTCCAACCCAGTATTTGTTGATTTCACGTTAAAAGTTAATTATTTTAACATATTGTGCAGAGAAAATAGGGACGAAAGATTCCATTCTACAAGAGAGTTTCTTTGCCAATATGGTGCATAGCATGTTGTTTGGCTCTAAAAGAAAAGTTTTACTTATTGAGAAGCGGGGTTTCAGCTCGAATTGTTGTTTATGTAATGTTAATTTTCTCATACTCTTAATAAACTATAATTCTATTTGATTTTTCAGATTGAGGCCTCGTTTGGTAATAGGCTATTTTAGTAACTTTTTGACTTTTTACGAAAAGATATGCAGAAAAGTAGAGAGGGTGATGTGACAATTTATAGTAACTTTTTGACTTTTTAATTAAAATAGATTATATATAATACTTAAAGATAGAAGATGATACACATTAAACTTATGATATGAAATAAATTATACATGCTATAAGCTGTAAAGAAGTTGAGTTGAGCTTTTGAGTATTCGAGCTCAAGTCGAGTTCAAGTCGAGCTTAAATAATCGAGTTTGAGTTCGGCTCATCAAATGTTTAATAAACTCGAGTTCGGGTTGAGCTTGAAAAAAAAAAAACTTAAATTAATTTACTTATTAAGATAAAATAAAAAAAATAAAAAATATGAGCAAAATATAGAATAATACTTATATTAATAATAAATTTCATTAGTCAAATATATAAATTTACACAAACACCAAATACACAAAAAAAATAAAAATAAAATAGATATATTACTAAAAATTTATTTGATATATTATTAAAAGTAAATATTAATTTATTTTCTTTATGTTCATTAACCTTATCAAGCTTAGTTTGAAACTATTTGAGCTCAGCTTAATTAATAAATGAGTCTAAAAATTAAACTCAAGCTCATTTATTTAATAAATAAATCAAATTTAAATGAGTCGAATTCGAACGGTTCATGAATAGCGCTATTCGTTTAAAGTTTTAACTATAACTGACCGGTGAATAAATTATATGTAGGATGAGATGCAAGAATCCGGAACACCACGTGATTGTGTGCCTAACTCATGAACTTTTTCAACTTATTTTTATTTTTTTGGTGCCATGTAAATACATGTACGGCCAACCTAAAAAATAATGTCCAATGATGGGGTCTTTATAGATTGCATAAGCATCCAAAGCTCTCTGGACCTTGAAGGTCCAGCTGAAGAAGCCTGCCTTACATGGGCCGACCAATCACAAATTCAGACCACTTTCAAAACTCATAATGGGCCTACTCTGTACCCAAGGTCCTAAGCCTTGCAGTGGGCTAGCTCAAAATGGAACTCAGGAATGGCCCAATATCAGAATGTTTATTGAACCTATGCTATGAATTAAACTAGTAAGTCCAGTCATGACAAATCAAAATGTATGTTCACTATCAAATATATTATGTAGTAGCATATATAAATAAAAGAGTACAAATATATTTATTTTATACACTTACATAATTTAATGTGGTCGGCCATGGCCATTTTTGTAGATTAAATTTTTTAAAATCTTTGTTATTTGCTATTGTATTTTGGTAATGTTAGCCTTTTGGTAATTAATTTATTTTTCCCAAAACAAAAAATTTAAAATAAGCTCAGAATTGACCTTTTCTTAATCTAGTTTTTTTTTTTTTAGAAAGTAAAAAAATAAAGAGAGAGCGAGCTAACTTTAACGCTTACCAAACAAGGGGAGATTTTATTTGCACTTAAAAAATATTAAGTACGCTTAATTTCAGCACACATTATTAAATTATTTAATGTTATAATTTATTCGTAATACACTCTATATTTTTTCACAAATTACCCTTCAAAGTACATCTAAATAATAAACAAATCAAAAATTCCAAATTACACCACTTTGAAAAACTCATTCATAAACCCATAAACAAATTTCTCATCACAATTATCCATTTTATTCACATACAAAGAACAATTGGTGTGAGTTATTCTTTATGGCATCATATTTACTTTTATGTATACCTATTATATTAATGATAATCCCATGAAACACTTTGTTGAAAAATCCATGATAATTCCATGGAGATTGAAAAACACTTTTGTTGTTGAACTTCCATGGCATCTCTGAATGATCATCTAACAATTCCCAAGAACTAAAGCTTCCCAAGATAATACTACTTGATGTTTAATTAATTGAACTAGACATTACCTATTTTTTGATTTGACTAATTGAACAAGATGCTATTTATTTTTTTTTTATTTGATTAATTGAATAAAAAAATTATTGTGTTCTTGACAATTTCCAAATTTTTTTATTTTTTACTGTGGCACATATTATTTTGAATATAGTAATAAAAAATAAAAATAAAAATAAAAAAACACACAATAGTTAGAGTATTGTTATTTAAGATTAAAAATTATACTCACTCCAATGATATGATAATCAATTAGGATGTTAAATGCAATATTATCTCTTATATTTTCTTTAATAATTAACCAATTATATCACTTACACATTATTGAATCTAAAAAATAAATCTAAAAAATAAACTTGTATAATTATATTTTTTATTTTCACACCTCTTTCTTTCTCACAATCCAAACCTAGCCTTAATTTTCTTGAGCTCCTCTGTTTCCTCTCTCCTTCTCTCTTGGAGAAAACCATATCATCAGCTTTATCAAAGAAAACTTCTTTCTTTCTTTCTAGAGAGAGAGATGGGAAACTGTTGGGGATCTCCAGTAGGTAATCTTAGCAGCCCAAGCGCCACCAAACCATCCACCCCAGGTATATGTATATATATATAGCTGATCTCTTTGTGTTTCTTTGGTGACTTTTTTTAGATGTTTTTGAATAATTTCCCATAAACCCAAATCACTTCATCAATCATTTCTTTATTATCACCATTTATTTTTCTCAGATGATCAAAACTCATTTATTTTTGTCACTACTAGTAGACGACGACGACGACAACAACAATATTACGGCGGCGGCGGCGGAGGTGGTGGTCGGAGGAGAAAGAGAAAGAGAAAGTGGAAGTGAAAGTGGGTGGGAGTAGAAAAGCAGTAAAGCCTAGTTTGGGAAGACTAAATAAGTACACTTTTTGACTTTTTATGAAATATGGGTTGGGTTTGAGTTGGTTTTGAAGTGATGTGTTAGAGAGGTGATGTGACTTAAATAAGATGATGTGTCTTAAATAGGATAGTGACTTTTTGACTTTTTGTCTTTTTTCAATCTTCCCAAACTAAGCCTAAATGTAACTCCGAATTTGAAAGTGTTTACGTATTCGGAGTTGAAGAGAGCGACCAGGAATTTCAGACCAGACACAGTGTTGGGAGAGGGAGGATTTGGAAGAGTGTTTAAAGGATGGGTAGATGAGAAGACCTACGCACCCTCCAGGATCGGCGTCGGATTGGCCATCGTCGTCAAGAATCTAATCCCGATATCCCTCTAGGTCTCCAACAGTGGCAAGTATATCCCCGCCTCCACTACTTATCACCAAATTTCACATTCACTTTTTTTTGTTTATTTTTTAAAATCAATTTTTAGTCAATTTCTATTTTTATTTTCCCACCATAGTGTTTCCCTATTCCTATAATATAAGCGATCATGATTCAGAGATTGGTGGAGACAAAGAGGACTTTGTTGCTTACAAAAAAGTAGCTTGCAACTAGTTATTTTGAAAGAATAATTAATTTTTTAATAATAACTTTTTACTTTTTAATTATTTTATTTTTTAATAATAATTTTTGACTTTTAATAACCCTTATTTTGTGTTATTATTATACGAACAAAATGACTTTTAATTTTATAGAAATCCAATAGTGTCAGGTATGGAAACTTTTTTTTTGCCTACCCCTACATTGAAGATTGTAAACGAGTTGAGCTGGACCGAATTTTAATATGTTTGAACTCAAGCACAATAAATAAAAATTTAAGAAACTGAACTCGAACCTAATTGACTTAGGTTTTACTCGATCGAGCTAGAGCTTTTTTACAAAACTTAACAAGCCAAACAAATTATAAATTTATATTTGTGTATGAGACTAAAGTTACAACTAAATTTTTTGATTATATAATGATATATACAATATATATATATATAAACATATTATAAAAAAAGTCACTATCTTATTAAAATAATAATATCTACCACATTTACAGTATTTAAATATGTAAATAACATATTTATCTTATTTTTTATACATATCTTTATATTATTTAAGTAAATATTAAACGAACTGAGCTTTATTATATTTGCACTTAGGACTGTAAATGAATCGAACTGTTCACAAATATGCTCGGCTCGGCTCGTTAAGAGCTTAGCTCGATTCGACTCGACTCGTTTAACAAACGAGTCGAGCTCGAACTCGAATATTATGCTTGTTTATCTTTATTTAAATTATATAATAAATATATTATTTATATATTAAATAATATATAAATATATATAAATAATATTTTAAAAAGTCATATCAAGCTGAGTTGAACTTGAATTTTATTAATATTAACGAGCCGAACCGAATTTGAACCCAGTTACTTATTGAGCCAAACTCGAACTCAATAAACAAAGGAAAATGCTATAGGCCCCAAATTTTCTACCAAATGAATGACCAAATGTCTCACATGCCCATGTGAGACATTTGGTCATTCGTTTGGTAGAAAATTTTGTATCTCTAATATTACTCATAAACAAATTCAATAAGCAAAAGAGCCGAGTTCGAGCTCAAGTTCAGCAAACCTCGACTCGTTTACAGTCTTATTTGTACTTGTTTATTAAGTTTTTAACGAGTTCAAGCATAATAAAAATTTAACGAACCGAGTTCAAATGAGCCTTTATCAAGCCGAACTCGAACCTATTCATGAACGACTCTTTTTATTTGTAGCCCTACCTACATCCTCTAC